TGTGCTTAAAGAACAGCAGCCCTGTGCACCAGGAGACAGAAATGTCGTGATGTGCTTTGCTGCCTTGGCCAAAGCCCTTTGGGAGCCTCTCCCCCTCCTATTCTGTCCTTTTACCTTCTACAATTGAGTCTCCACCTCATTTTGGGCAGGGAAAAATCTGTTTCCGTGTTCTAGGGACAGTTTCAGGGGAGCCTGGAGGTTCTTCCCCTCCATGCATAAAAATAATCCCAAACTGTCAGATCTTACCCCACTGCAGGACTTGTGTGAGTATCCATGGAGTGAAAAACACCAAAAGTGTAACACAGGAGGAAAGTTCAGTCTGGGCCCAGGGTAAAAACCAGAATTATTGCTGAATCCAAGACTGATGCACGTCCCCTTCCGTTAATTAAAGCAGGAGATTTTTAACTGGCTGGCAAAGTTGAATTTTCAGCCATTTCTTTGTTTGGCAGAGGGAGAAGGAATCCCAAATATATCAAACACAGAGGCAGTGAATGGGAGCTTGCAAACGCCTCTCGTGAACTTGGGGATGCATTCAGATCAAAGCAGCATAATGAGATATTCTGAATAATACAGAGAGATATTCTGAGCAATATTTGATGCACCTAATTACTGAGAACGTGCCTCCCTGAGCTTTCCAGGAGCAGGATCAATGCCCTGCAGGTCCTTGCCCATGGATAGGATCTGTGGATTGCCAACCTGGAATGAGCTCAGGAGCACCAGCAGCCACTAATTCCAGGTAAAAAACCTCATTAATCCAAAGGAAAAATATATTTGCATGGCATGAGAGCTGTAGCCATCCTACTGAAGACCTAAACCAACTCCACAGATGATGATGGAGCTCTTCCCAGTTCGGTTTTGGCCTTGGAATGAGAGCCCAGGTTAAACCAGAGATCCCAAACCTCCTCTGGACTTGGCCACACATTTCTCAATGCCCAAAAAAAAGCTGAAACGAGCCAATCCAGGACCCCAATTAACTCTATAAATAAAGAACTTGGGCTCCAGCACTCATCCAGCAGCTCCAAATGCCAGCCCCATCCCAATCAACCCAAGAGAGGCTCCTGGCTGAAAATGTCATCTTTTAAATGGATCCCTCGTAACAGATCTGGCTTTTCCTCTGCTATTGACTAATATCGAAAATTCCAGCTATGCATATTCATTTCCTCTAAATACCTGATCCCCTTCCATGGAAAATATTATCTTGAGGAAGAGCCCAATTAAATTGTGCAACTCTTTGCAACCTTTGGTGTTACAGGATCAGGTGGGGAAGCAGCAGCAATGCTGGAAAACACAGGAGCTTCGGGAAACCCCACGCGTTATTAGGTTTGATGAGATCCATTTTCTTGATGGCTTCTGAAAGATCTTTGTGCTAATTAGCTAAGAATACCACTGAATTATTTAATTATCTCTACTTTTGTGCCATAAAATATGTTGTCATATCACACTCTGTCTTGCTGTTGCTCTTCATACTTAATGATGCCTTTAGAGTTCCTGATTTCCTTTGTTCTCCCTCTGCAAGTGGTTTTTGGTGGTGCTGGGGAAGGAGGGGAGAGCGCAGAGGGGAGGCCAAGGGAAAAAAATCTCAGGTTTTAAAGAAATTTTGACGTGTGGGAAAATCTTTACACATGCCCAGCTCCAGTTCCCTGTGCCATACACAAAGCGTGTCTCAAAGCTATATATTTATTGCTAATCCAACCAGGAATTCTTTCCAGAAGGGAAAAAAAAAAACAACCAAGGATATAACACCATTTGGAAAAAAAAAATTAAAAATTAAAAATCGGCAAGGAATGCATTTTTTTTTTACCAAGGAAGAGGTAAATTATGATAATTACTCTGACTGGTAGGGTCCTTAAGCATTACTAATTAGCATTTATTGCCTGGATTATTGAAACAATGTGTGTGTTCCCAAGAGTGAGGAAGAACTGGGATGCTCTTTCCTTGGGAGCCCTGGGAAAAAGGCAGGGCAGCAGGAATGCGGCACAGTTGGCACCGAGGCTCCTCTCCCCGAGCTCCAGCCTCGTGCAGAACTGGAATTGTACCTTTGGGAAACCCACGCCTTGAACTCCTCAACCCTGCCTGCCTTCCCCCCTCCTCGCGCTCGCGGAGAAGGGAACAAAATTTAGGGTGGAAAAGGGAGAAAAAATAAAAATCAGAATGGTTTGGCATGGTTGGAGGTGCAGATGAACGTGGAGTTCATTGCAGTGTCTCCTGTTATTCCAGGGATTATGCACAAACCTCCTAAGAAAAAGGATTTCATTGCTCTAAAGCACTGAGGTACGACCAAGCACTTCCTTACACGGGAATTAAAGGGTTAACAAATCCAGCAAAAAATAGGAATATTACAGTATTTCCAACTGGCATTTTGACTGACTTTGCAATCAGATTTCGGCATAAACTGCGTTTTAATATCGAGCATTTATAATGTGATTTAGGTTAGGAATTAGAAATCGATCAGGAATTAATCAATCATCTAATCAGCACTGGCCACTACACAGCATCTCAACTGCAATTTGCTATCTGGCCCAATAAATCCTTAAGTACCTTGGAACTGATTCAGAGAAGAAAGGCAGTAAAAGTATTCTCCTTTTTTTTTTTTTTTTTTTTTTTTTTTTTCTTTTTTTTTTTGGTAGCTGCAGCTCCGTGCAACTTTAGGTCCTGCTAAACCCCTGGAAATAAAAGAGCAACAATGGAAAACTGCAGAATGCCTCGGACCTTTTATTTTTACCTTTTCCTGCCACCAAACCCTGTGCCTTTCAACTTGGGAGAGCAAGTTCCAACTCAGCCACAACGAGGTCAAAGTCACCGAGCTCAAAGCTCCAGTTGCTGCTCAGACAAAACTCCCAGACACCAGAGTTTTGTAAAAGTTACAATATATATATATCTTTTAAAATAACTATATTTTAAAAAATCCCACGCTTCATTTGCTTATCTTTCTCCTTCGTAATTATTTGCATCACATATTGCACAGAATATTTAGCAATGCTTTGTATTAAATATAGTGGCAGCATATTAGATATACTTCTATTGAAACTTGTTCCAGCCTGGTGGTTTTTATTTTAGGGCTGAAAAAGATCTTCAATCCTTATTAAGCTTTACTTATTCTATTTATTGATTAAATTAATGCCTAATATTTATTTTCCTTGTAAGAGGAAAAAAAAAAGTATTTTCGTCCACAGGTTTGTTTTGGGTTTTTGTTTTGTTTTTTTTTCTAGTGAGAACATAAAATCATGGAAATTGTTATTAGAAAAACTCTGTAACGCTAAAAAAAGGAGCAAAAGGAATAAGACAAAAAACAAACCCCCAGCGCAACATCCCTCCTTTTGTGTGCAGAAGGTGAAAATCGCTGCGGGAACCGCTCCGGACGAGCCGGGTGCGCTGGGAAGGGAACGATTCCCCCGCGCTGCCATCCCGACATCTCTGCAGCCGCGGGGCTCAGAATCGCCCGGGAGCTGCAGGAACCGCCTGGAATTCCGCAGCGCGGAGGCACCGCAGGGAAAGGGAAGGAAAAGGGCTGTGGGGGACTCTTCTCTTCCAGCCGCTATTCCCTGCTCTCCTCCTCGCCTTTCCCCGCGGAAAACCACCCTCGGGGTTATTTCTTATTTCCTTTCTTATTTCTTATTTCCATCCCCTCCGCTCATTTTTTTTTGGGGGGGCTGCGCGCTCTCTCTGCCGCTTCAAGCCCCATGCCGGGAATTGATGTTTGGGCTGCGCGGAGGCTGCGCGGGGCTCCGCGCCCCTCTCCCCAAAGCCATCCCTCCCCGCCCATTGTTTTGCCGCAGCCCCGCGCAACCCCCGCCCCGCAGCGCGGACACAATAGCGACCCCCGGGGAGGGGACAGCGGGGACATCGCGGGGGCTCCCGAGGCGGGGACCCCCCCCCGGCAGCGCAGGATGCGCGGCGGAGCCAGCGCAGCCTCGCAGACAAAGCGCTCGCCCCGTTCCCCTTCTTAAAAGGGGGGAAAGCGCCCCCAAAAAAGCGGCTTTTTTTTTTTTTTTTTTTTTTTTTTTTTTTTTTTTTTTTTTTTTTTGCGGGTGTGGTAATGGCTGGACAAAGGTGCGGGGCTGCGGCGCTCCGGATTCCGAGCAGGTAACAGAAAATAAATGCGGCTGGCTTCGGAATGAAATTTGGAATAATGTAGAAATTCAGGAGGACAAGGCTTTCTCGGCTTTTTTTTTTTTTTTTCCCCTCGCGGAGGTAAAACGCTCAGTGAAATTACAGTGGCAAGAAAAAGCAGCTAAAATTAATTAAAAAAAAAATCAAACAAGCAACCTTTTCCAGTTCAATAACTGTTAAACAACAGGAACCAGCAAACATATCCTAAAGCTCTTAAATACCAAAATGTTACACCGTCAATTAATTTTTGGTGCATCGTTTTAAGTTCAAGCATTTGCATTCAAATATCAAACAGTAATTCGGTGCCATAACAAGGTACAGTAACTTCATTATAAATTGCCTTGCAGAACAGAGATAAGAAATACAGTTGCAACCATAACCAATTTTACAGCAACATAAAAAAATCTAATAAAGAAAAACAGCAGCAGCAGGAAACATTTTGAACATTTCTGATTCATCATTTACATATCATATAGCCCGGAAAAGCAGCAAAGCTGGAAGTTCTAGAAAAAGGACTCAAAGAAAACTTCAGCATTTTACTTTCCAACCATTAACACATGCAATCATTTTATTCTGCACTTTATTTTCCCAACCTACAAAATCCAACCCATCTCCTGGCTTTTCATTTTTTATTTATTTTTCTCTCTCCTTTTTTTTTTTTTTTTTTTTAATATTTTAACCCTTTTTTTTTTTCTTTTGGTGTGTCCATAGAGCACATTTCCAAGATTAATCGTTCGGTTTTAAACTTGGAAGCATGAGGCATGCTGGGATTTCAGCTGAGGTCAAGCACCAATGTACCGAGCTGTTACTGTTACGCTCTCAGGGTACTCTGTGTTGCTCTCAACAAGGGGGGGAAGGCAAAAAAAAAATCAAAAAAAATCAAAATTTTAACCCTTTTTTTTTTTCTTTTGGTGTGTCCATAGAGCACATTTCCAAGATTAATCGTTCGGTTTTAAACTTGGAAGCATGAGGCATGCTGGGATTTCAGCTGAGGTCAAGCACCAATGTACCGAGCTGTTACTGTTACGCTCTCAGGGTACTCTGTGTTGCTCTCAACAAGGGGGGGAAGGCAAAAAAAATTTAAAAAAAATCAAAATCGAGACGCTCTATGCAGTAGCCTGCTGCAAAAAAATCTCCCTGTTTTACCACAGGCGTGATGTTAATATTCCTCCATATTGAAACGTCTGTATTTATGGTTTTATTCGCCTGTATTAATTAATGCGGCTGGGGATGGCCACGCACACCTCAAGAACTGTATTTACATCCATATCGTGTATATCTTATCTACACACGCATATATAATAATCACCCTGTGTGTACACACATACACCCCCATATCTGGATCAGCTGGAAAATTATCTCGTGAATATATATACACACACATTAAAAAAAAGAAAAAAAAATTAGAAAAAAAAATCTCAGCGGTATGAACGCCGATTTTAATTTGATTTTTATACAGAAAATGGCCATAACCACCGCCCTACATCAGCCGATGGAGCCTAAGGAGGAGAAATAGACTTATTTTTTCCTTAAAAGATCTTTAAACACTATTGTATGTGTGTGTATACGGCTCTAAATATACACACCCGCGCTCACACGTATACACATAGAGAGAGGATATATTTCTGAAATAAAATAAAGATGTCAAAGCACAACTCACAGCTCCCAAGAGCCTAACCCGTGGATTTAAAAGCTAAACATCACAAGTTAGGGTCTCAGGGATTGAGAGGGGCGCAACAAACTAGTCCTTGCAAAAAAAAAAAAATTAAAAAATAAAAATACCAAAATCAACGGGGATCAAAAAATAATAATCATAAAAAAAGAGATCAAAAGGAGAAAGAGGAAAAGAATAGCAGGCAAGTTCAATTCATGGCTCAAGATTACAAAACAGGACACACAGGTGGAAGGAAAGAGCTTCTCTAAGGACCCTCTGTTGAGAGAATACATTCCATTTTTAATCGTTTATACAAAAAAAAATAATAATAATGACATGGCGCGGCAGGTTCCTTACAGCTCCCAACAAGGTCGCTTGCGACAAATACACGAAAAGTCTCCGCATTTAAATAACGAAGAGGAAGTTTGGGGCAGTGACGGAATTATTTTCATTGTTTCAACGAGAAGGAATGCAGAAATAAGAGCAGGAATCTGCAGGCTCGCTCCCGGCCCCTGGCACAAAGCGTGCAGCAGCAGCAAGGCGCTGCCTCCCCGCCCCCTCCGCCAGCCCCGGGGATGGAGAAAAACCCCGAGTCGCCACAAAACCAGGTAGAAACTCACCATTTGGAAGCGGGGGAGGCTCCGGTCGGCGGCGCTGGGAAGGGCCGGGGGGGCCGGGGCAGTGCCCGCAGCAGGCTGGGTGCCCGGCGGGGTTTGACACCCGAGCGGCTGCGAGCGTGCGGTGTGTGCGCAGCCGGGGGAGGAGGCGGCCGAGGGAGGGCGGGTGTGTGCAGCTGGGCAAGCCGCTTGCATTTTTAAAACATCTTTTTTTTTTCTCTCTCTCTCTCTTTTTTTTTTTTTTTTTTTGCGGGCAGCAGCGCCGCAGCCCCGGCCGCCCTCCCCTGCCAGCCGCCGGCCGGGGCTTCAAAGGAAAACCTGGAGAAAAAGCGGCTCGCCCGGGAGAGGAGGGTGCGAGCCCCGCACACACAGCACACGGCACACACACACACACACAAAGGGACTCCATCCTGCACCGACTCCTCTCTCCGAGCACCTTGTGCACCCCCAGCCAATGGAAATTTACGCCGGCCATAACCCAGAGCAGGATTTCGTCCCCAGCCTGCCACCTCCTTCCCTCCGCTCTTCTCCCCCTTCCCTCCCTCCCTCCCTTTCCTCCCTCTTTCCCCCCC